CACCCTTATGCATAAGGACAAATTCACACCTTTCTCAAAGATGCGTTCATCAAAAACAAGATTATTTTATAGTAAATTTAATTTTCAATAACTTTTCTGCAGATTTTAATGTACTACTATTCACTTATATGCACACTTATGCAATGGGACATGTTCACCCCTTTCTGAAATGCGTTTCTTTGGATGCTAGGACTCCACGGATTTTTCATATTTGGAAGTCCATAAACCAGATGCAACAATAAAATCCCTTTAACGTTGTAGTTACTTTTTAAACTACATTATCACTAGCCTATAATCCGTGCCCAACTGCGAAATATTATAGATCGTAAATACCGCTTACCAGGAAAAACGGAACTTACTGTTAATGCGTTTACTGCATTGCAATAAAAAATTATCGGTATGCTATAGAACAAAATGTAATATTCCTTTCGCAGAAAGTGTTTTTCTATATAGCAGACACCAACATAATAATTTTTTTCTGTAAAACTTGTAATGGTAGTTTATTTCAGTTGTTCATACTTTTATAATATCTATAATTTTCTTTACTGTTTTATTGTTATTAAAGTTGTATTAATCTCATTTTTTATTAAACTGTATAGTTATTTTTCTAATAGCTCATCTCTGTAAAATATTATAACTGGTCAATGGAATATCCCACCTTAGAAAACAGACAATTGGCTACAAATTAAACAAATTATCATACTTAGCTTTATTTAAAGTAAACAGACTAGAATTAGTCGTGAAGGATTAAAACATCAAAGTAGGCTGTTGTCACTGGGGACAACACCGTTATCGACGAATAAATAAAGAGATAAATAATTGTCGAATTTAAATTGCAACAAAGTATTAGCAGAACTAAAGCTAAATAACTAAATAATGTTTTATCTATTTTTCCAAAAAAAAGTCTGCAGTGATAACAAAAAAAAATGGTTTATTATATATATATATATATATATATATATATATATATATATATATATATATATATATATATATATATATATATATATATATATATATATATATATATATATTAATAAGATCCCCAAATTTTAAATAAAATTAAAATCACAAGACCATTAAAAAAAATCGAAAACACCCTGTATATGGAAATAGTTTAGTTGTAAAATTATAAACCAGTTACCGGGGACAACGTGAGTAGTTTCCGAATATGTAAATAAGTGATCTAGAAAGTTTTCTCCGATAAAAAGACAATTCGGTTTGGACATGACAAGGTAGATTTAGTACACAACTATTTGAAATTTGTGGTTATAATAGATTAGAAAGTAATAAGTAAGGATTATTGGTTAATGAGTTTTCTCTTTTACAAAAGTTTAAAAAAGAATTCAAGGTCGTTTGCAGGAAAGTACTTTAACGTCAGGTAATTTTTGGAAAAACCAAAAATTTAAAGGAGTAAGAAACCGATGATGCGTTTGATGAGAGGGGAGGTTTGTTTGGATTGGTTTGAGATGGATAAAGAAAAATTGGGTAAAAAGCTTGCCGGGAATGAAATAAGGGAAAAGAAAGGCATTGTGAGTTGAACATCGAGAGAGACCGGATCCGGTAAAAATATTTTTTTTTGAGAATTTCTAAGAAGTAGTGCTTAGTGTTTGTGTGGAAGATAAAGCAGCCATTGCGGTAAGCAGAGGCGAGTTTCAGTAGAAATAGAGGCATTACTGAGTGTACAAACAGATAAATTTTCATTGAGTCTAAGAGGAAGCAGTTTGTTGTCTTGGAGTTTTGAGCTTGTGGTAAACACATCACGATATTTTCACAGACTGTTTGTCTTTTTCTATTATTATCAAAAGAAACAGTAGGCGAAATAGCGAGCAGGGAAATTGGTAGGATCCAGGAAGTACATTGCGATCTGGTCAGGGCACAATCCAAGCAGAATCAAGGAAAGATAGTCTGTTTGAAAACCAAAGTTTTGTGTTTTTAAATAAATTCTATAAAGACATTCTATCACGACCATCTATCAACATTCATGTCAATTGTTTGTAATTTGCAATATTTTTATAGTTAGGGGAAGAAGTCAAGGAACCAATAATTCTTGCTAAAATTTTTATATTTAGAAATATTTGATCTAGAAATATGTATATTTAATTTTTATTGAGCATTAAGGGATGTGTGATTTGATGAATGATTAATTATTTTTTTTATTATATTTATAGTGTATGGTGTAAAATTTATCCTCAACAAAATTTTAAATTAATTGGATATATTTTAAAACAAATGACAATTGTTTTAATATCAGAATTGATTATCTATTATTTCTTTTTCCTTTTGTTGATCTTTCTTAAATGGAACTAGCAGAAGATTCTTTGAAGCCACGTTTTTAATAAAAAAAAAAATAAAAATTATTTTTAGCCTTGAGATATTCTTTGCTTTTGATTTGTTTGATAAAGATAAATTTATTACATTTCAGACTGTATAAGTAGATTTACAATTATAAGCAAATCACAACAACTGGCGCTAGAACGTGAGGGCTGATAAAAAAGTATTTCTAGTTACATTTGGAAATAGATACAATTTGAAAAGTAAATGCAACGGGTTGTTATAGTTTTTTTTGGTCAAGTGAATAATAATTTGGTACAATTTTTATAACATTTTCTAAAAATTTATTTAATTTTTTTTTATTGACGTTTAATCACATTTTAAAAATTTTTGACTAATATTTATATTTGGGTGAAAGGAGGTTTTGCCGTATTTGCAACAAATCGAGGAAATTTAAAGTTGGCATTTGGCAGGGATAATATTTCAAGAGATAAATAAATGGCTGCAACGAGAAGCAAAAATAAAGAAAACAAAAAAACAAAAAGAATATTTAGAACAAGAAGAACATTTAAGATAAGAAGACATTTTCGAAACAACAATTATGGAGAGAGAAAGTCAGGAATTATCAGGATTAGAGAAAATATTACAACTGATGCAAATACAATCACAAAGAATGTATAGAAATCAACAAAAAACCTCAAAGAAAATAGAGGAATCACAACAACAAATGAAACAAACAATGAAAGAAACAAAACAAACAATAAATAAAAATCAACAGGAAACAAAACAAGCCATAGAAAAGAACAAAAAAAATGGAGGAACGCATGAAAAAGTATGAAAAGGAAATAAAAGGATGTTTGAAAATGATGAAGAACGAGACGGGACAGCAAGAAATGAGAATTAAAGATCAAATGAAAGAATAAGAAACAAAAATTCAAAATCATAAACAGGAGCTAGAGAACTTGGAAATCAAATTTAAAAATGCTTTACGAGAAGAGAAGCGAAAAATAGAAGAAAAAGTTAAGCAGAACGAAAAACAAATTGCGGAAATCAAGACGCAACAAAATTTTGGAGAAAGAAGGGAAATGCTTATCCATAGTACAGATGATGGTAATAAGTGGTATACAGCCAGCTGCAGGAATTATTTTCCTTGTGGATTTTGATAGTACTTGGTAGACCATTTTATTGTAGTCAACTACCCACTGTCTAATATATTGTTTAGTCTATTTCTTGCGTTCTTACTTTACGTCGACTTCAGTTGCTCTTAAACTAACACCCTAATTATTATAGACAGGTTTGAGTGTGAGATCTGGATAATGCAACCTATTTACAAATATTCTATAATAATTTCATATTTCATCATTTGACTCCCAATAGTAGTGTTAGTTGGACCTTTGGTCAATGCTCAATTTCCTAGAATTTTGAAATGTGCAGATCACATATCTATGATTGTGACTGCCCATCCAAACTGTCATATGTCACATGTCACCTCAACATTTCCGTTAGACCGGGAGCTATTCTTTCTCCGGCTTTATTACACAATGTAGCTTCGCCTGTTTTTAATAATTTTAATGTGTTTGTCCTTGTGTAGTGTAGTGTGATGTACCATTTTATGTTTATAACATTTTATTCTTGTCGGATAGGCTACATTTGACGAAATAAGTCCAAAACAGTAATCACATAAAAACTTTTATCAACCATCAACTTCGAATTTTTATCGAAGTTAATTAATTAATTTATTTTTTTAAAACGTTTCTTGGTTTATTTCAGATGCCCTTGAAGATACCCTAGGGAGCGAAAGTACTTGGGCAAGATTAAATCAATTAAACTGTGCTCGATATTTGCCTTTTACTTGATCAAAATTCATTTATTCGAACATTCAACCTTATATCAATAAAATTTTAAGCTTGGATTATGTACTTTAAATTACATACTTTACATTAAATTAAATACTTTACATTATCTCATTCGGAAATAGGTAATGATGGATTTTATACTTGATATTATAGCTGAGATATATCGACTTTTATAATATAAAATTATATAAATGTTTGGTTTTTTATACAAAAATTTAAATGTAAAGGGTGATTTACGCAAGCTTAGCTTAGTCGATAAGTTTTATTTCAATGAAATACCTTGTATATTTTTATATTTTTGAAAGTTGCTTAACAACCTTATCTGAGCCAACTATATCATGCAGGGTCTATTACGAATAATACTGGGTGAAATTTTAAAATTATAATGTATGGACTAAAATTTTTGACCAAAATTTTTTGTGATTTTTTTTGAAAATTATAAAAAACGCTCTCATGTCAACTTTTAAATTTAAATGTGCGTTTTAAAATATAAATTTAATTGTACAGAGTAATTAATGCGAGTCTAGCATAGACCATCATCTTTATTTTTAATAAAACACCCTGTATATTCTTATGTTTTAGAAGCCATTCAATTAAAAAAGGTTAATTACGAATAATTTATTTAAAATGGAATTTTGAAATTTTTGGAAACAATGTATAATTTTCTTCTAGACATTAAATACATTAATTTTTTTATTCTGTCTCATAAATAAAAAAATTAGAAAAGCTTAATATTATTAAAAAAAATTAGTAAAGAGCTTTGCACACTTACTCTTGTAACGATCTAACCAAATATTTAAGCAGTAATTTTTAGCATAAAAACTGCTGCCATAGAAAAAATATTAATATCATCATTATTCTTGTACTTACGTCTTGTATTCCAGACATGGTCCCAACATACACTAACAAGAGTAGATCTGCTACGGCTAGAATAACTCCAGATAACAAGGCATCTTTAAGTCTATTGGGCATTAGTGCATAAGTCAAATATGTCGTAGCGAGAGCAAACGATGACCCTAAAAGTGGTCTTCTATCATCGAAGTAATATGAAATGCAAATCTGAAAAAAAAGTGTACGGATAATTAAACTGTAAATATTTCTATAGAGAAATAAAAGTTTTTTAAATAAGAAAAGAATCTAAAATTTTTGAACTCTAAATTCCCTGAATTATGTGAACTCTATGAAAGTTATCAGCAGTTCAAACTGCCTAAATTCTCCAATAGCTCAGAACTTTCTAAACCCGGTGATCTTTTAAGTATAAATATTTTTTTAGAAATCTTTGAAATTCCTTATTCTTAGAATTTTTCAAATACTGCATTCTCACAGTTAATATAAACTTCCTAAGTATCTAAATTGTCTTAATTCTTAATATTCCCCTAAGCCTGTGCAGGTCATGCATTTAATGCTTTAAACCATTCTTTAAACTATTAAGGTTCTAATGTCTTAGAAGTGACTAAACAGTTTGTTTTCTTTACAATTTTCTGAACTATCTAGTCTCTTAAAATTATTAAATTATTAAAGTTGTTAAAAATAATTCTTTTGTTAAACATTCTATTTATCTAAATTTCGTGAACTCTACGCACTCTTTACAACTTCGTAAAATGTAACTTCGTAAAATAATTAAGAATTGGCTTCTCCTATGAGTAAAATATTGCAGTATCTGCAATATTTTCAGTTCTAAGCTAAGTTATCGACTACAAAGTATTATTTGTTTCACTTTCTTCAATTGACGTGTCTATTTCATGAGAAATATCAACTTGTATATTAAAACGAGTATCTACATAATCTGCCATCTAATTCTATATCTCAGTTGACTTTTCTCCCTTTATGTACTAGTGCTTCACTAGTGCACCGCTTTTTGATTATAATTGATTGATTTTAAATATTAATTGTGTCATTCCTACCAAAAGTTATTATCTTAAATCGTGGAGGTTACCCCAAAATGAGAATATAAATTAAATATTAAACAAATATTAAATTATTTTTTAAGATACAAGTAAAATTATACTTTTAATAAAAATACTAATTTTCCTTTTTCTTTTCTTTTTATTTACAATTTAATTAGTTATTTACAATATTTTTTTAAACATAGATTAAACATAGACATAGACATACATAGAGTTTTACATACATAAATCTAAGTTAAAGTACATTGGTTAATAGACGATTACACGTTTATTTGTACACGCACTGATGTTTAAATTTGGTTGTAAATTCCTATTGATCTTAGAAAACTTAAAACATACGAATAGTTTACATAGAAAACTTAAAACAGTTTTCTTGTAACCACACGCGTAACATTGTCGGTATGTTACACTTTTGCCACTCATTTGAATATGCAGGGCATTCGATTAAACAATGTTTTACAATCAAACTGTTAAGACACTTACCGCACATTGGACGAACACTTTCAATAATATGGTATTCATGTGCTAAGAGTGTATGTCCTAATCTAAGTCTGTTTATTACAATTTGGTCTTTCCTGTTGCTACACATATTCTTCCATCTTGTAACAGTTGTTTTTATGTCTCGTAGTTTTTGTTGAGATTAATTCCATTCTTGAAGCCACCGTTCTTTCAATGTCGAGAGATGGCAATCTTTAGCTAAAGTTGGTATACATGGCTCTTTATTAATCGCAACAATGGATGAGTTGGGTAAATGCTGCCTAAGCTACTCATGGAACTTAAGGAATCATGTTATTATTAGGCATCTGTACAAGTTGGCGTTCAGTGCATATTCTAATCCTTTGTAGATTGCGAATAGTTCTCCTGTATATAGTCTGCTAAAATTTGAGATTTTGTATGAAGCAGTGTAGTCGTTGTGTATGGAGGCACATTCCACTTCTTTTTCTGATTTGGACGCATCAGTATAAATATGTTGGTATTTTTGGTACTCATTAATCTTACTGTAAAATTGTTTAAACATAGAAAAAGCATTAAGCTGATTACTAGTCTTTGTTAAACTCAAGTCTAGGAAGGGTTTTCTGACCATCCAAGAAAGAGCGGTTAAAATGGTGGTTTGGTATATTTTAGGGAAGACAATATTATTGCTGGTCAGGTATCTATTAAGTGTTTTTATAAAAAGGGGGTTTAGATCTTTTTTTGTTAAAACATGTTGTGTGGAAACGCGGAGTAGAGACATTGTTTCTGACGGGATTTTTACTATTTGCTAAAACGTTTGCAGCATAAGCTAGGCTGAGATATTGTCTTTTGAATTCTAGAGGCATTTCTCCTACTAAACATAGTAAACTATCTATTGGTGTGGTACAAAAAGCTGCTAAGGCTATTCTAACAGCAGCATTTGGATTTTTTGCAACTCTATCAAAAGTGATTTACTCATACACTATTGAACCGTAATCGACTTTAGATCTAATAAGGCTTTTATATTCTGTCAATAAGATATCTTGATCACATCCTCAATTTTTAGTAAATAGGACTTTCATTATGTTTAAATATTTTTGACAAGATGTTTTAAGATAATAAATATGTTGTTTACAATTTAAATGTTTGTCAAAATTAATTCCAAGGAATTTAATACAATCAACATATTTTATTTTTGTATTAAAGATTGTAAGTTCTAGACTTATAAAATTATAATACTTACTAACATTGCGTTTTCTGGTGAAATGGATACATTTACTTTTATTGGAACAAAATTTCATTCCAGATTTCATTGACCATTTTTCTAATGCAGAAATAGTATCTTTTAAGATTTGTTTAATTGGTTCTATGTTTCTTCCTTTACAATAAATTATGAGATCATCTGGGTATAGCCTACTCTTTACTGGTGAAGAATCGTTTTCCAAAATACTGTTAGTAGCAATAGAAAAAAGGGTAACACTAATCGATAATCCTTGAGGGATTCCATTTTTCTGTATTCTTGTTTTAAAAATGAAATCATCTACTTTTACTTGGAAACTTCGGTCTTTTCAAAAGTTAGTGATGAAGTTTGCCATATTTCCTTGTATATCTAATTTCTGTAAAGTTTTAATTAATCCATGGCGCCAAACTGTATCAAATACTCTGGTTATATAAAAAATATTGCTATGCAGCTTTGATTATTTCCTAGCGCTTTATTTATTTCAGACTCGAGGTCAACTAAGTTGTCTAGAGTTGATCTATCTTTGCGAAATCCACTTTGTTTGTTAGATAAAACAGATATTTGCTTAAGTATCCAAATAAGACGTTGGGTAATTAATTTTTCGAGCACTTTGTTCATTGCACATTCTAATGATACTGGACGGTAGGAGTTTGGGCCTGAACGTGGTTTACCAGGTTTAATGATAGCTATTGTATAAACATTATTCCAAGCATGTAGAAACACTTGTTCAAGCCATATTTTGTTATATATCGTTATTAAATAGGCAAATCCATTTTTTGGCAAATTGTTAAGGAAAATAATAGGAATATTATCTGGACCAGAACTAGAGTTTTTAATAGAATTTGTAGATTCAGTTAACTCTTCCTCTAGTATTGGTGCATTATCGCTTTTATCATAATTAAACTCTTGTAATTCTTCTTTGGTTTTAAATTGCAAAAATTCTTGAGAAAAGTTTTAATTACTTGAATATGACTCGTAGGATGAAGCTAATACATTGGCTATTTCAGATCTAGATGTATGAACTTTCTTATTATATTCTAAAATCCAATTGATGAGTTTGTGTGGCTGGCGTCCTGAAATTTTGTTTATTTGTTTCCACATTATTGCTGCTGGAGTAGAACTGTTTACTGTTGATAAAAATTTTTTCCACGATTCCTTTTTTGCTTTTTTTATTACTTTTCTACTAATAGCCCTTAACTTCTTAAATTCTAAAAGATTTCCTTGTGTTTTTTGTTTTTTGTATTTATTGAATGCTCTGTGAGTCTTCTTTATAGCATCCTGACAGCGATTGTTCCACCATGGTACTCCAATACGATTTCTTACTATTTTCTTTTTTACAATGATATGATCTGCTGCGGAAAGTATGACAAAGGAAAATTTATTTATTGTTTATATTGTCATGCGGAGATAGATCTGAAAAAGAATTCAATTGATTGTCCACAAATTGTGAAAACGGTGACCAATCCTCTATTTCTGTATACTATATAGTGTATGGTTGAATTTTTTATTTGTTTTCGAAATGTATTACTATGGAAAAATGATCGCTTCCATACAATTGTGTACTATCTTCCCAAGTTATGTTTTGTACTAAAGAAGGTTCTACAAGAGATAAGTCGATACAACTAGTGTTTCCAGTAAAAGAATTAAATCTTATTGTAGGTCCATCGTCAAGTAGGGTAATATTGGTGTTATTAATGACCGTTTCTATTATGTATGACTTGTTTTGTTATATCTATTAGATCCCCAAAGTGGATTGTGTCCATTTAGATCTCGTACTATAATCTTAGGCGACGGAATTTGTTCTAAAATATGGGTTATCTCTTTTATACTTATATTAGTATTTTGTGGAAAATAAATGTTACAGATGTTAATAATTTTTGGAGTTTATATGGTTACTGCTACTGCTTCAACGTTGGTGTTTAAAGCTATCTGTCTAGATTCCAATGAGTTATTATTAACATAAATAGAAACCCCTTCATTGACTTTTTTAAAATCACGTCTGTTTTTATGATAACCTGTAAATGCCTTTAATTTTGATAATTTTTGGTCAGTAAAATTCGTTTCTTGGAAACATATTATTAAAGGTGAGTATTGTTCCAGTTGTGTACAATAACCGTTTATGTTCCACTGAAGAATTGACAGTTTTGTACTATATGATAATTTTTATTCTTATACTTGATCACTCTTTAATTCAGGAGGAAATTGTATCCAGCAATTTGGATATTTTGCGCTTAATCTTTGTGCAACGTGTTTTCATTATTTTTTCATTGAACAGAGGGTAGATGTTGTCTAATAATTTTAGTAACCCCTCAATATCTTTTGTAAAAGTTTGTCATCTCACTTAAAACACTCAATGGGTCAGGTGAACCATACGCGTTTTCAAACAAATGTATCGTTTCTTGGTAATTAAGAACACTTTTGTTTTTATAGTCTACAAAAATACTTTTGTTGGCTGCATC